CGTGGTGGTGTGGGCCTGTAATCCCAGCTGTTGGAAAGCTGTAAATAGGCAGATCACTGTGAGTCCAATCTAGACCTTTCCCTAAAATACAAAAAAAAAAAAAAAGAAAGAAAAAAAGAAAGAAAGAAAGAAAGAAAGAAAGAAAGAAAGAAAGAAAGAAAGAAAGAAAGAGAAAAATAGAATGATATCCCCTATTCCTAAAAAGGCAGAACCAGGCTGGGGAGATAGCTCAGTGGAATAAGTGCCTGCCTGGCAAGTGCAGGGTCCTAAGTTCAATCCCCGGTACCGCCAAAAATAAATAAGAACAGGTAGAACCAATATAATGGGATGACCATATTTTCAAAACTGATCTACAGATTTAATGCAGTCTTAATCAAAATAACAAAAGCATTCCTCAGAGAACTAATATCTAAATGTTTAAACAAAAACAATCTGATGAAAGATAAAACTGGTGTAACCCTTGAAGACATATGTATAGGCAAGAACATTCTAAACAGAACCCCAATTGCATAAGAAATAATACCAAGAATCAACAAATGGGATCCTATCAAATTAAAATATTTCTATACAGCAAAGGAAACAGCCACTGGACTGAAAAGAACATACAGAAAGGAAAAAGACTTACTACAAACTTTTTGTCAGAGAAAGAGAGGTAAACAGAGAATAGATTTATTATAAAGATTTCACCCATGCATCTGTAAGGCCAAGACTCATGATCTTCAGCTGGCAAGCTGCAGACCTGGGAGAGCCAAGCTGCATGAAAATTAGCTCTGTCCTGAAAGCTGGAAACCTCCACATGAAAAGTGAAAGTCCAGTCTGAGCCCAAGACAGGAAGGACATTGTGTCCAATGGGAGCTCTCAAAAAGATGTTCTTCCTTAGCCTCTTCTCTGTGAGACCCTTGAGGCTTTGTGGTGATTGGTAGACACCTGCTCATATTAGGAATAGTGCTGTGGTTTGAACATCCCCTTCAAAACTCAGGTGGATATTTAACTGCATTGAAACAGTATTAAGAGTTGGTTAGGCCACAACAGTGTTACGTAGTGAATTGAAGCCCCTCCTGTACGAGTGTTAAGAGTGGACTCCTGATAAAGGATGTGCTTGGCCACCACCCTTCCCTCATCTGTCTTGTGCCTGCTCATATGCTCTTTGTCCTACCTTGTAACAGGAAGGCCCTCACAAGATGAGAGCACCATGCTTATGGACTCCATAGCATCCAGAACTGTGGGTCAAAGGAGCCCTTTTGTTTATAAATTACTTCAGCAGAAAAGAGACAGTCTGCTTTACTTGGTATACTGATTTTCTCATGTTAATCTTAGTTATACTTCCACCCAGAATAATGTTTGGCTAAATATCTGCATGTTCTGTGGTCCAGTCAAGATGACACATGAGGGCTGGCCAAATAGCTCAGTAGATTAAAGCGCCTGCAAGCAGGCGCAGGGGCCAGGGGTTTGATCCCCCCGGGCCTGTCATGCCAGCCCCGCCCCAGCCCCCAGGGCGCCCTGAGATGGCAATTGAGACTGGGCGTGGTGGCGCACACTGCACCTGTAATCCCAGCTCTTGGGATGCTGTGAAATGTAGATCACTATGAGTCCGATCTAATAGTGGGACCCTGAACACCGTGTAGACCCTTCCAAAAAAAAAATACAAAAAAAAGATGACATTTGAAATTGGCCAGTGTAAGTACACGAAGACTCAGAACAGAAATTACTGGCACTTAAACATAGAATTATTATATAAGGGAGAAAAACAAGAAATGTAGTGAGGGTGAGAGTATAGGGAAAATCTTAGTTTATCAAGTGGCAGAGACGGTAATAGTGAAATATTGTAGATCTTGAAACAAGAGTTTGAACATTATATTTGAGGAAAATCATTTTACCAGCTAAGTCTAGGATGCTCAACAGTTTGGGAACATGACCATTTAGAAACCAGTGAATAAAAATTCCCAGAGGTCTGGATTGGGTTAAATAGTGTCAAAGTAGAGAGCACATTTTATGATGTTGGGCTGTAAGAACAAGAAAATCAACAGAAGAAGCTGGGGAAAAGTGTTGTGAAGTGGGGAGAAAATAGAATTTGACAATTCATGTCATTGACAACAGTGAGACAGTAGGAAGAAATTTTTTTGTGGGATCAAAGATGTTAGATTTGAGATGATACATATGGTATACCTTGTAATACTCAGCCTTACCATAAAATAGGTAAAATGCAAGTATGATGAATTTTGATGGTTTACTTTTACATAATTGTTATAAGTATATATTGTTTACTTTGAAGAATAAAAATTTATCAGAAAAAATTGAAATTTATAACGGAATTAATTGCAATTTTGGTAGAATAATGTCTTTCAGCAAAATTTTTTCATTCCAAACAAACCTCTACATAGTTATTAGTCCTGTACACTTACCATACAGTTAAAACTTATGTGCTTATTATAATACTGACTGGACTCAAAATACTGCTCTGTTCTGTAATGCTTTATCCATTTTATAATACAATTAAATACATACTATTTTATGTGTAGTAAAAACTATGTATGCGTTTCTGTTTTATTTTAGTTTAATTACTGCCAGAATTATTTGACCAGCTGAAATTTAAAATTCCATTTATTTATGATAATTATGAAAATAAAATATTGCTTATAGCATATAAGTAGCTTTTTTAATTTGAAACGAGGACCTTAAAACATGGCCATGCAAGCCCTCTACCACTGAGCTACATCCAGAGCCCTTTAGAAATTTTTATTTTGATGCAGTGTCACTTAGCTGCCCAGACTGGTTTGGATTTGTCATCCTCTTGTGTTAGCTTTTCAAGTAAAACTTTTGTTTTCTTGACTCTGGGAGTCTTAGCAACATAAGAGATATTGATTTCCTGTTGCTAGTATTATTTTCATGTTACGTGTGTTTCAGTGTTAGACCCAGCACCTTGTGAATCTGGACTGCCAAGCTGCTGAACTGTTATTTAAGTTAGTCCTGTTTAGAATATTGCCCCCACTACTCTTAATAAGCATAGGCAGAAATTTTTAGTAGTAAGCCAATAAATAATACCTGTTTTAGTATGAGTTGCTTTAAGTAGCTAATAACACCTCTCTCTCACCTTCATTAAGTGAATTTGTTTAGGGTTGAGTGGCATGAGTGAGGTAAAATAATGATCCTTGCAGCCTCAGAGGCCTCATTATGCAGAGCCAAATCCATGCTTGGGAGAGAGAAATAAGAAATCCATGCTGAGGCAGGAGACCTAAGAAATATTCATTGAAAGAAATAAGAAAATCAGGTAGATGAATAGTGAAGATGAACTAATCCTGCTATATGGGACATGGTTTTGAAAAACTAATTTAAAATATTGTACTCTTCCATGTCTTCATTTTGATTGTTTTGATCTTTTCTTGTAATTATGTCTATCAACTGACATTTTGAATTATCCATATATAGTGTGCATAAACCATTGCTTAATCAGTAAAACTTGTGCTATATGTTAATTCTGATCTTTTCTTGGCATGTGCGAAATTACTGTGTCTATATAATCTCATTTCAGTTTTCAAATTATTACCTGTTCGAAAATAAAAAGCAAAGAAAACATTAAATGCCAAAGCTATCGCCTTCATCAGAATACGTACCCTATATTCTTCACATTGATTGCTTGTATTTTAGACCCCGTTAGGTATGTTTCCATTTGAAAGGGGATTTGTACACGTGTTTCCCTGACACTTCCAGTTTTAGAAAAAAATATATTCGTGATCATCTTTTTTAAACATGCCCTGCCCCAAATTCTTTTTAAATGTTTCACAGTTAAATTTGTATTTTTAGGTAGGATTATGTTTAGATACCAGCTACCAGTATATAGGAAATTGATAATAAAGCTGGTAAAGCTGACACATTGGGAGTTTATAGTCTATTTTGTAGTCTGTGTATTTAGAGAAGGTTTGAAGCTTATATAGCAAAATTGTTTAAATCTTTAAGCAGACCTTCAGCACAATGTACTGTTTAATTTCACATAATTGTTAAGACAACAGTATGTCACTTTTATAGCTTAACTCTTAAGACTTAGATTTTTTTTTCAAAAAATGATGTTGATGCATTGAGAAACAGATTTTATATATAAATATTTCTATATTTCAACTTGGATAGAGTTGGTTTGGTGCAATCAGCATGGCTTGATCAAATTTGGAAGAAGTTACAGCCACATTTTTGTAGTGTTTTCTCCAGTGTCTTTATTTTTTTCAGATGGAGTATTTTATGTTCCTTCCAACTAATCAAAATAAGAAGCGGAGTTTGCCTTTGCCAAAACTAGAACTATCATTTTTCACATTCTTTTATTTTCCAGGTCATTTTCAAGTAAGATTGTGTTTCTAGGACTTCTGAATTCCTGAAAACTATGACTTTGAGGATTTAAGGGCCCAAATGAACATTTCAGGGAGAATCTAACTTTTCATGCAACATATTTTGTGTTGTACATTCCAGATAGTTAACTTGTGTGCATGTGATTAGTGTGGAGAGAAATTAATGCCGTCCAGTATTATGATTTATGGACTGAATTGTATACCCACTGAAAACTTGCCAAAACGAAAAGCGTTTCTTTCCTTTGGATATTAGAAGCAGCTACTCTTTTTGTTGATCTTTTAAGTTCTGAATGGGTCTATTTCAAATAATACCAGCATGGGAGTTCAGATTAATAATATACTTATTTAACTAGTGGTACTGAGTGAAACCATTGCTCATATGGGTATGAAGGATAAAATTTCATAAAATTATTTTCAGGTGCATTAATGCATTTGTAAAAGCTGTGTATGATTTTTCTTTTGCATGAAAGAAGTCAAGGAATTCTGTTCATTGTATTAGTTACAGGTGGGTTCATAAGTTAATTTAATTGCTTTTTTCCTATCTTAAAACATAGTTCATTTTTGCTGGATTTTCCCCAAAGTTTAACTCAGTACATTTATCTCTCTGGAGACATCATGATTGTATGATATTTAAGAAAAAGATCTCTAAATTTATTTTTTTCTTAGTTACAGCAAGCTGCTGAGGTTTCTCAGCTGAGGGGAGCAAGGGTAATCTCTGCTGAAGATCTTCTGTTTCTGATGCGAAAAGATAAGGTAATGTGAAAAAAAAGTTAGAAAAGTGGGGGTGGCAAGATAGCTCAATGGACTAAAGCACCTGCTTAGGCAGGTTTAGGCAAGCTTGGGGACCACAGTTCTATCCTAGGCACCACATGCCATGCTAGGCCTGCCCCCAGAGCAGGCTGAGCCAGTAACACACACACAAATGTGATATGAAGCAGTTTCATTATGGTAAAATACTAGGGCTCATGCTTAATTGAACTTAATAAGGAAATTTGTCTTTCCTTGTTACAGCTTTCACATTAAAATCATAACTACTAAAGTTTTAGTCTTTATGGTTTTTATAACAAAATCAGTTTGCTACAATAGAATTGCTATTTTTGCAAGAACAATGACTGCTAGTAAAACTTTATTAAAAGTAATCCTCCATTATCCTTGTATGTCTGTTTAGACATTTTCATTGCTGTATAATATTCAGTAAATATTGACTGTATGTTCTGTTGCTATAAATGAGATGTACCTAGGTGGCATATTTATTTTTCATCTCATTTTATACTTCAACATTATCAGGATCACAGTCTTTCATACACTAAATTTTTAAATACAGAGTTTATTCTGTGATACTAGCTTATTAAAAAAAGCAAAATCAATCAAAATAAGTGTGTGGAAAATATAATTATATACCATAATATCTGTTTTTTATATACTCTTGATTTTTAAGCTGGTACTTGTGTCTGATTTTGTCAAAATTATTTTCCATAAGTGGGTAGTTAAAAATGTTCTACAATATTTTCCATGTCTTAATCATTACTTTATTGTTATAAAGAATGTAAAGGGGAAAAATGTCTTTATCAAGAAGCTTATGGTCTTCTTTAAAGAATCTGGTGACTCACTTGAAGCAGCAGCTGAGAGTTAACCTAGTGTCAAGGTTATGAGCCTAGAGTTGTACAAGTGCAAACTCTGCTGAAGTGAAGCAAGGCTCATACAGCCACTGAGAGTAGGCCAAGCACAAGGAGATGAACGAGGGTGCTGCTAGTGCAGGAATCAGAATGAAGTGGCTCGTGGCTCTAGGATGACTAGGAAGGAAGAAATGGAGAGAAACTGAGCAATAAGAATGTGGAGGATTTGGTGACTCTCGACACTGGGAGGATCGAAAAGGCACTGTGAGGAGAAAGCCAGGGTGCTGTTGGCAGAGCAACAGGACACTCTAAAAGACACTTACTGCAGGCATCCAGGGAACAGCAGGTTGACATGTGGGCTTTGCAGAACATTTGTCACAAGCAAAGAAATTGGCACATACAATGCCCACATTGACACTTCTTTTTGCCCTTTTGGGGAAGTAAAAGATTAAAATCGTACTAAAACCACCGGAAAATACGCTGCTTGACAGTGTAATGCTGCTGTCCAGAAGGACTCTTCACCAGAAGATTTTTACCAACCAAGAACATAGAATTTTATTTATACCCCGACATGTTCCAGACAGAATTTAAACAAATTTACATAGGTAAAATATCAAACAAATGAAAAAAAAAAAAAAAATGGAACCCAAACACAGAGAAAAGAAGGGTAGCAGAAAACGTAAGGTCAGGTATGGCTTTTGTCTTAATACAAATAGTTCCAATTTATATTCAAACAGTATTTATTGGCTGTTATGTTTCACATATTGCACAAAGCAGGCATTACCTAGTCTCATGAATTTCTCATAGGGGACATGGTATGTATTTTTCCTACTGTGCAAGTAAACAATCAGTTTCAAGCATATGTACTACTTATGGCTGTGCTAAGCCTTTGTTGTAAGGCTAGTGAGATAGCTCAGTGGTCTAAATACCTGCCTGGCAAGTGCAGTGATCTGGGTTCAGTCCCCGGTACCACATGCTGTGCTAGCCCCTGGTTCTGAGCCAGGAAACCAGATGTGGTGGTACATGCCTGTAATTCCAGTGCTGAGGAGACTGAGACAGGAGGATCACTATGAGTCTGAGTTGAGTAATGAGACTCAGTACCTAATTAATTAAATTCTGAAAAAGATATAGTGTGTATCTCAAAGCTATTGAGGAGGTCAGATGGTGCATATTTAAAGGATTGTGTAAAATACAGTAGGATTCACATATTATTGGGAGACTTGGCTTGCAGGCCAAGGTCCTGGGTCTTATCTCAATACCTAAAACAAGGATAGGGAAATCTTAAAGCTGAAAGTTGGGCATCAGTGATAATACCCACTAAGTGCAGTCACTGAAAAGGCCTCAGAGTGTGAGCAATTATTTTTCAAAATTAACTAGTATATTTTTTACATAAATATAAAGAATATTATCCTGAAGACTTTAACTATCATTCATAGGCTGTGTGTTTCCTAAAAATAGGTTTCTCAGGTTACATATCAATGAAAAATTTTCAAGGAAGAAAATAAACAATACATGTTTATAACTCAATTTCTTAAATTCTATTTTAAAAGTATATAAAAAATTCAGTTAATATTAGCATACTTAGTGTAGGGAATGTGGTAGATACCAGTCTCAAAAAATAATCTTTAAGACTTTTATATACAGAGAAGTAATTATTGTGATTCTCGAACTCTGGATACTTGCAAATGAAAAGTACTTGTGTTTTAGGGCCGGCCAGATAGCTCAGCAGATTAAAGCACCTGCTTAGTCAGATGCAGAGGCCAGGGGTTTGAACCCCGGCCTGCTGTGCCGGATCTGCCCCATCCCTGGGGCACACTGAGACTGAGATTCAAATTGGACATACTGGTGCGTGCCTGTAATCCCAGCACTTAGGAGGCTGAAAAACAGGATGGATCATTATAAGTCTGATCTGTTTAGTGAGACCCTGTAGACCCTATACTAAATACATTTAAAAAAACCAGTACTTGTGTTTTAGCTCTTACGTTTAATTTGGAGGCACATTTTTTTTTCCATAGTATTGTGCCATGCACTGTTATGTTATCACTATTGTTCCTGTGATACTAGTTTTTTTTTTTTTTTTGAAACAGTCTCACTATATTGAGTTCAGATTGTCCTTGAGCTAACTCTATAGCCTAAGCTGATCTCGAACTCACAGTGATTCTTCGGCCTCAGCCTCCTGAGTGCTGAGATTAGAGGTGTGCACCACCATTCCTAGATACTAATTTCTTAAATGTAGTTATCATATTAGTCTTTATTTTCTGAAGTGAATATGCATATAAATGTTCTTACTTGCTGTTATTTTTATAGAAAAAGCTTAGAAGACTACTGAAATATATGTTCATGCGAGACTACAAATCAAAGATTATCAAAGGCATAGATGAGGATGAACTTCTAGAAGGTAATAGAACCAAAATGGTAAACTAAAACAGTAACATATGACCCATGTGTGCGGATGTCATGTTTTTTTCAATGTAAATATAGCTCTTCCCATCAGAATAGAATACTATATATGTTCTTCTTTTAAATAATATAGTTTGGAAATTATGCGTGAATGTATTTAGTTGACAATTTAATCTTGCTATTTTCTGTTAAATGTGACTTGATAACCATCTGGCATTTTAGTTGTTCTTTTAGAAATGTATACCACTTTACATCAGTCATGAGTGTAAGAACCATGTAGATTAAGTAAAACTGATTTTTGCACATGTTTTTCTTACGGTAGATAGAGGGAGTCAGAATCATTGTTTTTTACAGTGACACAGATTTTTGTTAATTTATCAACAGTACTTGATATGTTTTATAATTCAAAGTCACTTCATTCTTGTCTGTTAGCCCTGGGCTATTTAAAGTCTAACAAAAAATGTAACACAGAAAATTCTCCTTCTGTGATCTCTGAACAGAATTGCTTATTTTAGAATATTTAGAAAAATATTAGTGTTGCAAAATCAAACAGGGCAAAGCTGAAAATAGGTAAGTACTAAATAATATTTACTGAATCAAAATAAATTCACAAAAGTTAATTTAGAAATTTATTTGAAAATGTTTTTAGAAATAGCTTGTGCTATTGAGAAATATTTTTGGAAGTAACTCATTGACTGTAATCACCATTTCGGGGTACCTCTTCTAATTAGATATGTAGATAAATTAGGTAGCTAAAAAAAAAACTTACTAGATAAAGGAGAATTTCAGAAAACTTGACCCAACAAACTTTGAATATAAACCATTTATTTTTGTTTACCATCATCATATCAGTAGAAATAGCCTTATACGCCCCCTCGTGTTTTTCTGATTATCTGAATTATACACTATTTAATATTTAAATAGAGGGGCTGGGGAGATGGCTCAGTAGAATAAGCACTTGCCTGGCAAGCCCAAGTGTCTGAGTTCAATCCCCAGTTCCACCAAAAAAAAAAAAAAAGAAATGAAATGAAATAAAAAAATATTTAAATAGTGTGTGCCTATTTAATATTCTAATAGTCCTTATAGAATTTAATTTCTGAAGATTTTATTCTGGTGATTTTATATATTTCCTTTTAGGAATACAGACTTGTAGAGAAAATAAATACCTGGATTCCAGTCAATCCTAGTTCTCTACTTTTTCTGTGTAACTAGACAGTTTCCTTATCTCTAAAAGGGATATTATACTGCTGAACACATGGAGTTCATATAGAGTTAAGCAGCTGGTAACAAGTCTACCACGGGAATAGGTTAGACCTGTTAATATTGTGCTGTGAACATGTAAAAACTCAATCTGGAAATGTTATTTTTCACTTATGCTAATATCAGTACACTAGATCGCCTTTCCTTTTTTATTTTAGATCTTTCTACTTTATCTTCACCTATAAGTTCTAATTTGTGTGTCTTCTTTAAAAAGACCAAGAAAAAACACCAAAACTTAAAAAAATACTAGACAGAAAATGTAACACAAAATATTCAGGTCAGATACATCAAAGCCTAAGCTAGGATTGCCACTCTAGTGTGGGTGGGCATTCTGGACATGAACAATTCAGAGAAGGCTGCTACCTCTAAAATACTAGCCAAAGGTAAAAGAGTAGATATTGTGGAAGTACAACAGAAGATGGAGAAAGATATAGCTAAGTAGAGTCGTACTGGGGCTCATCACAAAACTTAAAAGGCTGGAACATTTTCACTCTTTAGATAGGTCCAGCATTATTTAGATCACTGTGTGGAACAGTGTATGCCCAAACATATTGAAAACAGCTTACCCAGAGAATGATTCCTGGAGTCTAACAGCTGTATGAGGTGTCAGTAGAGCCAGACCAGCAAGAAACCTAATGGGGGAAATTAGGAAAAGTGACAGAGATCACTTAATTAAAGGTACAGTCACTTTGGGTGATGGAGGATGCATACCCATGGCTCTGCTACATAATAAGCAGCACCAGAGGCTGCACACTACAAGCAGAGAGACTCCATTGCACTTACTCAGCCAAGACAGAAACAACTAAGTATTCTGAAGTGACACGCAGCCCACGAAAAAGGAGGGAATTATTATCTAGAGGTTCAGTAATATATTATCTGAAGGGTCCATTTTCAACAATAGGAACAAGATACCAGATACATAAAGACATAGGTAAATATGATCATTAAGAATGTGAAGAAAATGAGAAGTAGAATTTAGGAAAAACAAATTGATATTATGGTGTTTAAAAGGACAATAAACACAAATAATTCAATGGGGGACTCAATAAAAGTTTTGAGCCTGATGTGCTGGCCCTGCCCCTGGGGCACATTGAGACTAGCCATGGTGGTGAACACCTGTAATCCTAGTGCTTAGGAGGCTGAAAAACAGGAAGGATCACTATGAATCCGATCTGTGTAGTGAGGCCCTGTAGACCCTGTACTAAATACATATTTTAAAAAATTAAAAAATAAAAATTTTGAACCAACAGAATTAGTGTACTTTAAGACATCGTTAAAGAGTAAACAATCTGGAAATAAAAAAGTAAAGAAAAATTCACAGAGCTTCAGAAAACTGAGGAGACCATGAACTGTATCAGTGTGTACATTTTGTATCAGAAGGAAGAAAGAGGAGCAGACAAAAGTATTCCAAAAAAAGTAACTATTTTTCAAATTTGATAAAATTATTAGACTACATATCCAACCATCTCAATATATGTCAGTAGGGTCCTGGGGAGATAGCTTGGTGTTCTAGGCGCCTGCCTAACAAGCGCAAGGACCCCGGTTCAATCCCCGGTACCGCATGCCTTGCCATCTCTGGAACCCCAGGTGCAGAGTGCCAGCCACCGAAACTGGGAGTGGTGGTGCATGCTTGTAATCCCAGTACTGAGGAGTCTGAGACAAGAGGATCACTATGAGTCTGAGTTGCGTAGTGTACCCTATACCAAATAATTAATTAATTAAAAATAGACAAATGTCAGTAGGATAAATTCAAAGAAGTCTACTTGCATGCACGTTATAGCAGACAGAAAGTCAAACATAAGCCACCAAAGTAGGTATTTAGAAATGTGACCTTTGGGAAGTGAACAATGCCCTTTTAACAGAGATAGGGGAGGTTCCTTCTTTCTCAGATGGCAGGCACATCGGCATCTGCAAACTAGCCTTTATCAGACACCAGCACTTTGGTCTTGGCCTCCCAACATCCAGAACTGTAAGAAATAAATGTGTCTTGTTCAGACCACCCACTTTATGGTGTATCTGCTGCAGTAGTCTAGACAAAGACAGCCATCTGAGAAAGGCCTAGTTAATGGTGAAAAGCTGATCCCCTCTCCTCTGGGATCACAAATAAGACAATGATCTGTGGCTGTGCCACTTAACATTCAGCACTGTGCTTAGGCAGGGAATGAAGCAGAGAGCATCTAAATTGGAAAAGAAGAATTAAATTACCTCTGTCTGTAGATGACATGATCTTACATATTTTAAAAAAATTAAGGAATCAAAAGCTATTCCATACCTAGTAGATAAGTTCAACAAGTTTTCAGAATAAAATGTATACAAAAATAAATATATTTTAACATACTAATGATGAATAATCCAAAAATGAAGGAAGCAGTTTCTTTCTAAGTAGCATCAAAAAGAATAAAATACTTTAGAATAAAATTTACCAAATGTTTTCAAATGCTGAAAACTACAAAATATTATTGAAAGAAAAAAAGGCTTAGATGAAAATACAGATATCCTGTGTTCATGGAACACAATGCTTATATTGTCAAAGTTGTCCTGCTCACCAGTTTGATCTACAGATTCCACCTGCTTTTTGTAGAAATGGACAGGCTGATTGTATCATTCATGGAAATGTCAAGTTCTGGTATGGAAATGACTCATTTTCTAGGCTATCCACAGCCCAGAATAGACAAAACAATCTTGACAGAGAATGAAATTGACGGACTCTTGAATATGCATTTCAAAACTTGCTATAAACTTCCAGTAATCTAGACAGGAGGCTACTGGCATAAGGACAGACATATTGGTCAATAGATTTGGGTAAAATTGAGAGTCTAGAAATAGACCTTCACATTTAGGGTCAACTGATTTTGGTAAAGGTTTCAAAACATTTTAACAGGGTGGGGGGGGGGAATAGCCATTTCAATAAATGGTGCTCGGACAACTGGATATTTATGTGCAAAAGAGAAACTTTGGCTCTTTCATAACACAGCACACAAAAGTTAATGTAGACCGTAAAGCTATATGTGACAGCTCACATTTCAAAATTGTTAGAAACAAAGACAGGAGTAAATGTTCCTGAGGTTTGGTGCAGTAAAATATTCTGAACATGTAACAAAAAGTTCAAGAGACAAAAGAAAAAAATAGCTAAATTAGACTTGATCAATTTAAAAACTTTTGTGCTTCAAAGAACATTCTGAATGAAGAACATGAAAAGAGCCTAGAGATTAGTAGAAACTTTTGTATAAGTTTGTTACTTGTGTGTAGACTAGATAAAGAACTCTTACAACTCAACTTTTATGCCTTACACTTACAGTTTAAAAGTAAGTTTAAGGATGGGCAAAGAGTTTGACAGTTTTCTAGAATGGGCAAAAATTTTTCCAGAGCAGATTTATTTACTAATGGCCAGTAGACAGTGGGAAAAATGCTCAGTGTCTTTAGTCAGTAGGAAAATGCAAGTCAAACCCAGTCGAGAACTACTTCACATGCACTAGAATGGCTGTGATCAACAAGACAGTGAAGTGCTATGGGATGTAAACGGTGTGGCCACTTTGAGGAAGCAGACTGGGAGTGCCTCAGATAGCAAAACACAGGGGTACCAAATGAATAGAAGCTCAACTTCTAGAGGAGTGTAATGAAAGCAAGCGAAAATAAATCTCCACGCAAAATATTACACAAGAATATTAATAACATCACTCACAAGTGGAAAAAGCTCAAATGTCTGTCAAGAAATGTATAAATAAATACAGAATAGTC